GCCAGTCCAGATATTCGGGAGTTAATATTTTATCAGACTTGGTCATGTTGCTTTTTATATGAATCAATTTAAATTTAATTAGGTAGTAGTTGTCCTGTAAAAAAATATCACACAATAAGGCATGAGCAATAGAATATAATATAAAATAATGAGACTATGCAGTTATCTCAATTTTACATTGTTCACATTTAATAAAGTAAGATCCAGCTTCATATCTACCTTCTAAACTTTCCTCATCATCATGCTCTATCTTGCATAATGGACATAATTTCTCATCAGTAATTCCGTAATAATCAAAATTTTCACTACTAAATTCCTTATATAAATTAGGATATTGATCTAATGTCTTATTACGAAAATAAGTACGGTCATGAGTTGGTTTAGATTGGAATGCAGATGATACATTTGCCGATGTATTAACCTCAGAGCCTTGCCTTCTCGCTTGTGCCTCCAATGCACTTGGGCCAGAAGTTAATGACTTGGCCAGAGTATTTACTTTATTTTTTGGAGATCTATGGGTTGATCATGACAAATTTGTCACAGTTTTTGAAGTCACATGATCTAATATATTTTTAATCTGAGCATTGGTTAGTCCCGAAATACTACTTGCGCTATATGTGATCTGCTTGATTTTAGCAATACCCACCCCATCTTCTCCAAATAATTTAAGAATTTTTCGGGATCTCTAAGTTTTTTTACGTAAATTTTCATTTGTGATGCAAGGTAAAAAGGGTTTCATTTTCTTATATATTTTTGTTTGTGCTGTTTTATCCTTAATACTACTATCAGCTATAAGACTTTTAACTCTATTTTCGAATTCAAGTGAATAATAATACCAACACAAAATTTCTTCTTGGCCCTTTTTAATCGTTTTATCAAATAAACATGATAAACTTTCTGCGAAGTCTGAAATTAAGTTTTCCATATCCTGAATACAAGATTTATTAATTTTATCATCTGAGGATATGGAGTCAGTTTGGCAGGTTACTTCGCATTGATTCTGAATTAATTCTTGAATTAGACCTTGTACTATAATTTGACTTGTGTCAACCACATCAGTTTCATCATTCTGCTCCAATCCTGATACTTTAGAGGTATTTGTGTATACATAGTCTGATCGTGACAAATTTGTCACGGTTTCCTCTAGATTTTCCAAATTTTCAGAAATCACATGACTCTGATCGTTGGCAGTAGCCAGGTCCTGAACAGTCAAATCACATTGAAGCTTCTTCTCCCTATTGTGTTGCCTTATTTCATTGCTAACTTTTTCCTTATATGCTGAATCTATGAATTCATCATCCTCTTTTTCTTCCAATGACTTAATCCATAAACAGATAGGTTGAACTACACTGGGACTATTCTTCACATTAGAGCTACCCTCAATAGGCGATGAAATGGATAATTGGGAAGTTACCTGTAACTCTGAATGAGTGGGAGATTTCATCACAGATATCCCGTCTTGCACCGAAACATTAATAGCAATTTGCTCCTGCTTGATTTTTCCAACATCACAATTTAGTTCTGCAATTAGCTCAGCCTTTTCTTTATCGCTCTGCTCTAGTTTTACGAATCTGGTCTCATTCTCTTTCATAGCCTGCCTTAATTTAGCATTTTCAGCTTTAACCTTGGCATTTTCAACCTTAATCTTGGCATTTTCAGCCAAAAGCTCGACGACGCGTTGTTTCAATGAATCAAGTTCGGATTGTATATTCGATAATACCTTTCATATAAAATGTGATTTATTTAAATGCATTTATCCAAGTGGGACTTTAGGTCTCACTTTTTTATTCACAATATGTCTGTCTCTATATCCTATGAAAATATATTTGATATAATGTATAGCAATTTTCGACTTGAATTCTTTATTGAAATTTTTTAGAATAAATGGTATTAGTTCCGGCGTAAGCTGATCAAGTAAATTAACTGTATGCATTTTATATGATTCGGAGATTTTTAATCGAAAAAAATAAGACACAATCTGTGACTCAGTAAAAAATCTTTCGAGCTGAAGATTACTATTCTGGAATGATGATCTGTGTTCTAGACGAGCCGGCTCGATTTTCCACATTAAATATATTACTTTATTATAGCAATTATGACAAATAATAGCAAAACGCTTGCTCAGTTTTATGGAATGCTTTTATATAAGAAGAAGGATATAGTAGCTATTCAGAAAAAACTCGGTATTGATGGCAATGCAAATAAATTAGTAGTGCCTCCAGAATCCGAACTCATAGGGAAAACACTTGCCGATTCATATGAGCTGTTATTAGAATTAGTAGGGGATTTAATGCTGATACAGGAGAATCTCAACATTGATGGTAATCCTGTTCTAGAAGTAGAATATCAAAGTAATGAGACTTTCACAGATATTTCATTAAAGGAGATATTTAATTTGCTTATGTATTTAGAAGAGGATATAATAGCAATTCAGGATAAACTCAGTATCGTTGGCTATACTAATCAAGAAATGGCAGAAGATTCTGATAAAAATGCAAGAGAATATCTTCGAAAGTTTAAGAAATTCCATGGTCCCTTAAAAGATGGTCTAGATGTGATACTAGAGAAATTTGACGAAGTAGGAGTAAAGAAAATTTGGTTTACCAGGAAAGGACTTTCATTATTTTCAAAGGTCTCTCCTCAACAATTGCATGAAATATTCGTCAAAAATTCAGCTAGCATTGGTCAGTGCCTATGTCTAGAACAGGTTAGCTAATCTATATTTTTTATCGCATAGGGCACATCTAAATGCAAAAAATCTTCTGAGTGATGATCACTGCTCTGGATTAGTTAGATCAGTAAAGTACCACCATTCTGAGGCTAATATTCTTTCACCAGCTCTATGTCGCTGGCGCATCTGATTATCTCGCATACTTAGATCGGTTAGTATTCTATCAAAATAATTTCTCAGTGTTTCTCTGTTTATAGCTATAATGGGGTTATCAGCACCAGAATCAACTGTCATAAACATACTGGAATTAGGTTGT